TCACGCTTTTCCTAACGCTATACGACATAATATGGTCGAGTCCGCTCAAATTGATAGTATCAATCGGCTTGTTGTGGGCACAGTTGGGTGCGGCCAGTCTGGTGGGTGTGATCATTATCGTAATTATTGTGCCCATCAATACCTACAGAACTACAATTAAGAGCCGCCTTTTGGCTGAGCTACAAAAGCTGACCGCCCGTCGAGTGTCCGTTATTACCGAGATATTAAACCACATAAAAGTGTTGAAGTTATACGCGTGGGAACAGTGTTTTATGGATAAGGTGTCGGCCCTTAGGGATAGGGAAGTAAAAATGTTGGACCAGTTCTTAAGGTTTACAATTTGGACTTCTTGTATATTAAACACTGAAAAAATTGTTGTATGTTTTGTAGTGTTTTTAAAGATTATAATTTGCATTTAATTATTTTTTACTTCGATATATAGGTATCAATACTTAGTTTTACAACATTTACGCTAATCTCTGACCACAATATTTTGGACCCAAATAAGTCTTTTGTCTCCCTATCGCTGTTCACTATAATAGGTTTGAGATTTTACAGATAATACCCATTACTATAATAAAACATCATAAATATTGCATCTAGGGGCTCAATTTCTAATCTTACCTCGTGCATTGTTAACCGGCCAAAAGGTTTGTGAACATGACATGAATAGCAAAACAATATCATTTACATAAAATTTAATTATTATTTTATGTTTAATTTATTCATTTAAAATAGGTTTTGATAATCATTACAAAACTGAATAAATATTTAAACGCTAATGAAGTGAATGAGAGTTTCGTTGACCACAAACCCAATCAAAGGACTCCTATTGTCGTCAAAAACAGTTCATTCTTTACCCTATTGTTAACGCTGCTAAGACACGAGTTCTTATAGTTATATCTCTATCTCTCAGTCAGTAACCACCGTCAACACCCAGCACACCCGCGGCCGTTCAGCAGGGATAATAGCCGAAATAACCCAGATATGGACAAAAGTGAGGGCTCTGTGAATGTGAGCGGACGGACAGCTTATTGTCCACAACAGGCGTGGATTCAAAACACAACTCTTCGACAGAATATTCTGTTTAACAATAAATTGAATGAAAAGTTTTATAACAAAGTTCTCGATTCGTGTGCTTTAAGACCCGATTTGTCGATCTTTTCGGCCGAAGATATGACAGAAATCGGAGAAAAAGGGATCAATTTGTCCGGCGGTCAGAAACAGAGGGTTTCACTCGCGAGGGCTGTCTATTCCTCGGCAGACATATATCTATTGGACAATCCGTTGAGTGCTGTCGACCCACACGTCGGACGACATCTATTTGACCAAACAATTGGTCCGAAAGGACTTCTTCGCCACAAAACACGTGTTTTAGTGACAAATAAGGCGTCAGTTTTGCCAGAAGTGGACAAAATAATTGTCTTAAAAGAGGGATCCGTTTGTGATTTCGGATCATTTGATGAACTGATGGCCAAAAGTGGAGAATTCGCTGAATTTGTTGC